AATCATCAAAGTAGATATATGGTTTTCAATGAGAATGTGATGTACAATGATAGAGATGCATCACAGTCAATTAGTCCCATATAGAATGATTCAGCGTATTTTGAATTGGATGATGTTTCATGTAGTAGTGTGGTAGAGTAGGCAATTAAGGGTTCACAGTCAGAACTCACATAGCATAGTGCACTATAAAGTCCAACTCCAACACCCACACCTAGGAGGTCCATGCCTCCTCATGTTCCAAATTGGAGGTATATGGATTACATGTTGCTCACAGATGGTGGTAAGCCTGAATACTATGATGAGGAATATTAGGTTAAAGATGATAGCACGTGGAATCTTGCTATGAGATATGAGATGAATCTCCAATAAGACATGAGGACTAGACAACTTACCCGTGGGGAAGAAAGCTCTTCACAACAAATGGGTGTAAAGAGTCAAAGAGGAACATGATAGTTCCAAGAGATACAAAGTGAGGTTGTGTTTAAAGGCTTTTAGTAGAATGAAGGGATTGACTATACATACATCTTTTCCTCAGTTGTGAAACTGAATGCCATTCATTTAGTTCTTAGCATCGTTGCAACAGAGGGTAGGGGTGTTCAAATAATCTGTCAATCTGCTAAATCGAACCGATCTGATATGATCCGTACGGTTTGGTTTGGTTTTCTAGTGTCATGGTTCGGTGATAGATTGAAAAATTAGTAATCCGTAGTGACCGAATCGGTTAACAGATTGGGTGTTGAAAAAACTAAACCGATCCGTGGCCAATCTGTAGAACTAATATACATATATTATATAACATATATAGTATACAATATATGTAAATTACATTATTGATGTTTTTGTTTTCTTTAATCATTAAGTTTTTGAAAGTTTTATTGTTTTACAAACCCAAGATGCTTTACTGCTTTGTGGCTTGGTGTTTTACACTTTTTAGTTCTTATATTCCTTTCATTTGCATACATCTCTGGCCTCCCATCAAGTCTCATCTGATCCCACAAACCCATTGCTCTACTAACAGTCTCTCATGGAAGGCCCAGGTTACCCAATACTCTTGGTCTCTTATGGAACCCAGACAAGTAAGCATCTCTAATTTACATCAGTCGATCATTTCCTCTTCATATACATCTAATTTCTAGCGAGTTCATAAGTTTTTCATTATTTTCTTCTATGAATTTTTGTTCTTCTCTTCTGTAAAAAAATCTTGATTGCTCCATCTCGTCACTTAGTTTCAGTTCTACCTTGTCATTTTCATATCCCATTTATTAATATGTATACTCTTTAGAAATTCATGCATGACTCAGACGAAAATCAGTATTTTGAAATAGAGTTAACAATAACAGATCCTCTTTTTCCCTTTAAATTCATACATGACTCGGATGAAAATAGTATTTTGCATCTAATTTCAGTTTTCTAAGTTGTGTTCTGTCAGGCCCAATCCGTGGTAATCGAACCAAACCAATCTATTATGTCATGGATCGATTTGGTTCAGATTGAGAGTCCCCATAGATTGGTTCAGTTTCAGATTTAGCCAATCCATGAGCACCGGATTGGTTTGAATTTTACCCAAAACCAAACCGATCGGGTCCGTGATCAACCCTAGTAGAGGGGTTGTACTTTAAACAATTAGATGTCAAAACTGTTTTTCTCTATGGTGACATAGAGGAGGAGATATATATGCAACAACCAAAGGGTTTCTCAGTCAAAAGAAAGGAGAAACTAGTGTGTAAGCTGAAGAAAAACTTGTATGGTTTGAAGCAAGTCCTGAGCAAGTGGTATGAGAAGTTTGATGGGTTTATGAAGAGGCATTGCTACTACAAATGCATTGTTGACGATTGTTATTACTTCAAGGGGTTTGAGATGTGTTACATCATCACCCTACTTTATGTTAATGACATTTTAGTGGCAGGTTCCGATTATGAAGAAATCAATAAGTTGAAAAAGTAGTTGTCGAGTGACTTCGAGATGAAACATCTTGGTGCAGCGAAGCAAATTCTTAGAATAAGGATTAGCAAGGACAAATAGAAAGGCACTTTGCAATTGTCTTAGGCTGATTACAATAAATGGGTTCTGAAGAGGTTTGACATGAGCAATTCTAAGCTAATGTGTACACACTTAGCTAGTCACTATCGGTTATCCAAAGATTAGTGTTTAAAGACAGATAATGAAAGAAACTTCATAGCTAGTGCCCAACCACTGGAAATTTGACATATGCCATGGTGTGCATAAGACTAGACATTGTGTATGACGTGAGAGTAGTGAGTAAGTAGGTTCATGAAGGACCGTGCAAGCTACACTAGGAAGTAGTGAAGTGGATAATGAGATATCTACGGGCAGTGGCGTAACCAGAAATTTTCTTGTGGTGGCAATCTTTAATAGCAATAATATATATATATATATATATATATTGAACCAAAACAATATATGTAAAAATTAAACATTAATTCATAATATTTTTATTCAATACATTCACAATGATTTTTTACATTACTCATTGTTGTTTCAAAATTGAGTTCATTCAATTAAATATACTAAAAAAAATCATATTCAATGAATCAAGAATAAGATATGAAAAAGAAAATAGTACAGTTACCTAACTGTTCTAATATATCACATACATAAAAATTAAAAAAAAAAAAAATTTTGAAAGAACAACAAGCCCTAAAATAATTTTGAGAGTAACAACTAATAAATTTTATAATTAAAATTATAATATCAAATAATAATAAATTTAGATGATAAAAAAATATATATCAGTTTACTTGTCTGCCACACTGCAGTACGACTGACTGAGTCTCTGTCTACTGGTAAAGAGTTACTCCGCTTACTTTGTTTGGTTTGTGGAAAATGATAAAGATGAAGATGTGATGGAAATAATCCATTTGTTTGTGGTAAAGTCAAAAGTGTGATAGAATATCTTGATTTTTTTTTTTTTTTTTTTGAAAAGTGGTAAAAAAATATAATATTTTGGGAAAGTGGGAAAAAATATCAAATTTTGTGGGAAAGTATAAACTGATAGATATATTATATATATTTACAATTGTGTCACGATTATATTCCTCCTGTGAATGGGCTTTTGGTTATATATATATAGTATATATGTGCGAACTGTCAAATTTAGAGGGGGCTACAATACAAATATAAAAATCTTTCCATATAAAATTTTAAAAAATTAAAAGTTCAGTGAGGCCAGTTGCCCCCACTTGTCCCTCTGTGGCTACGCTACTGTCTACGGGGTACCATAGACAGATGCCTATGTTTCAAAATGGACAAGGTGAGACTACATGGGTATATAGATGTAGACTTTGCTAGTGAGGTCGATCACCGAAAGAGTACCACCGAGTATGTTTTCATAGTGAACACGATTGCAGTTAGTTGCGTTTTGCATATACAAAAGATTGTAGCATTATCCATTGTAGAGATAGAGTACGTGGCAGTGACAGAGGCTAGCAAGGAGATGACTGGTTACAGGGTTTGTTGGCAGAGTTGAGATTCAAGCAGGTAAAGAATTTTTTGCATAGTGATACTTAGAGTGCAATACATCTGTCGAAGAATTCATCATTAAATCATTCAAGGACCATGCATATATGACTTCATTACCACTTCATCAAATCGATGTTGGAATATAGAGTGTTGGCAATTGATAAGATACTTGGTACCGAGAATTTGCCGACATGTTGTTCAAGATAGTGACTTTGGAGAAACTGAAGTTGCGGTTAGCTTCAGTCGATCTTTTCGGATGAAGATAGAGATGAGCGCACCGACATGCTTTGTACGTACATGCATTGAAAGTTGATGGAATGGGCTTACTAGTTCTCTAGCCTCCAAGTGAGAGATTGTTATCGTTGTGTAGCCTGATCACTAGTTCGGATTATGGTTCTGGAGAAGTCAGACTGGTCGCACTTTGTGTTATGGAGCTTGATAGTACTTTTGTAAAAGTTAGACCGATCGCACTTGGGCAATTTGGGTCATAATGGGAGTTTTGAAAAGTCTGACGCGTCGCACTTAAGTTGGATCGGTCACACTTTGTTGACAAGTTGCGAGAACTAGTTCCTTGTTGGTTCAGGACTTTCCAACAAAATTGTGGGGCAAGTTGTCTTCCTATGGTAATGGGTTTTATACCAACCCTAGTTGTAACAAAAGAGAGAGATGGAGAGAAAAATTTCCATCGTAAACCTTTATTTTTTTCTTAGTGAAATTGTTCGATGCGCTCCCTAGAGATAATCCTAACTTTGAGTGAACCACATATATCTTGTGTTAATTGTATGATTATTCTCTTCTTTGGTTTTGTGTTTTACTCCTTGGACATAGTTGTTCAGGGTTTTCGCTAAGGCATTGGAAATGTATAGACTTTTGACGGGGCCATTGGAACTGTATAGACTTTTGACTGAGCAACAGTTATGAACATTCATGAATAAACAATAAATTTACTTATGAATCCACAAATTTTAAGTAAAGGGAATTCTAATTTTTTTTCCTTCTAAATAAAGAATTTTTTTATAAAATATTATTAATTGATATATCTCTATTAATATTTATAATAAATAAAACCCTATAGCATAAGAAAATCTAAATGCACAAGGAAAGCTAAGAAGTACAAAATGACAATAAATAAATAAATAAAAGAAAAGGATATGAAACCTAATCATTAAAAATTTAAAAGTACCAAAATTAGAAGAATCTGAATCCGTGTAAACCTCCAACAAAAATCTCAAAATATTGAACAAATTTCCTATATAAGACTAAAAAATGTGATTTTGGGGCTCTGAGATTCGGGCGAAAAACAACGTAAGTTGTAAGCCTATCTGGTGATTATTGATTGTTGGGCCGTTTCTGATCAATAATGGATCTCGGTAAATCAAAAAGGGCTTGTAGAAATTTTGCCAAAAAATGTGTCATCAAGCATAGCTATTTGGACTTTTAACAGTCGAAATGGGTAACATAAGCTTCGGCAATCAATTCTACATCAACTTTAGACTATATAATTCTCCAATGCTCATATGTGAATTTGGAAATATAATTTGGCAGATACATGTGATATTATTAGAACTAAATAGTGCCCACTGGGTAGAGGCTTTGGGGACAGTATGTTTTGTAGACACTTGGATATCATATACTTTATGCATCAAAGCATTCTCAATCTCTAACAATCTAATGATAGATAACAGTCATATACATGGCAAAACAGCCTAAGTTTTATTGTTTCTCCTCATGGAATTGGGTGTATAACTACCTTTCCAGTGGCGCGATTTGTTTCAAGATAAGAGAAAGCTTCAACAACCTTATCAAATGGGAAAGGGCCTTGGGGATCGACCACCGGCTTCACCTTCCCGCTCTCCAAAAATGGATTTAGTTTCTCTAACACTGCTCCATTGGAAGTGACAACAAATCTGAAACCAGGTGGTGTCACAGCACCAGTTAGGACCACAATGCTGCCCCCTTCCTTCACTGCCTTCACTGCCCTATCTCCCTGCCCTGTTATTTTTGAAAGAAAAATGTTATTTTCCCCTATCAACAATTACATAATCAAGTCAAGAAAAACAAGCATCATAGAACAAAATTCACTAAACCTTCCTCATTCTATTTTATTGTCTCCGAATTTCCTATAATGTTTATACCATGGTTTTGTAGAATTACTTTGGTAAACTGCGGAAATAAATTAACTATCATATACATGCTTCTCTGGAAGTGAAATATCATTTAAATTTGTGTCTATTTGTTTTGTTTTTTGTTTTCCCGGAAAGTTTATGATACCATGCTAGTACTATGAAATAGCAATAAGATTTAATCTTACCAATTGCATCATAAATCACATCGAATTTCTCTGGTAGGTCTTCGAAGTTCTCCTTGGTGTAGTCGATAGCCAAATCAGCACCCAAACTTTTCAGCAACTCTAATTTTCCTGTGCTAGAAGTAGCTGCAACTTTTGAAGCGCCAAATACATGTTTTGCCAACTGCAATGACCCATGTGAATGAAGAGCTCAGTGTACATGACAGTGCTTATGAATGCTTCAATTCATTACTGGATTTGATAATTTTGATTGGTGCTAAAATCACCATGCAACAACAAGTGTACGAGCTGCAATAGGCTGAAAAGAACAAATACCTAATAACGAATGCCAATGCAAGAGTATATAACTCGGAAAGTTGATGGATAGATTTCTAGAGTAAGCACATCCATTATGCAGGTTTTAAGACATAGGAATGAAATCTTCTGATGAAATACATGGCAGTAGGTTTGCTTCAGATTGACGAAGCAAATCCTGAAGTGGAATAGAATTCAAAAGAATTAGAGCTGATAATAACTTTTTTTTTCTTTGATTTGAGCAAGCAGAGTGGCGATGTACTAGACGGCTCAAAAGTACCATCTCAACATTGTTATGAAACTAATTGTTTTTAATGCTAATATTTTCATTACCTGTGACCTGAGAAATTTCTTCTCGGCCTATATGACTCTATGCTCGGTTGAGTTGGACTATTAGTTGCAGCAAAACAAAACAAGCATGAAATATGCAATTTAAAATTCTGTTTTTCTTTACTTCCATTATCTCAATAACAAGCAAAGGGTAAAACAAATAAATAGCATGAACATGTCCAATAACTAGTAATTAAGTAATCCTTTTTTTTGTTTGTTTTAGAAGGGGTTCGACGTTGAATCGTGTAAGAATTTTCAAGGAAATCAACAGAAGATTGACTCCAAATAGTTAGAGAAAGCGGTCTCGGTATCTTCCAAATTTCTAAGCTGTTTGACAGAATGACTAGAAAGTATGAGAATGGAATGTCAAACATAAAGGAAGTAGTGAAAATTTGTGGAGAAAGGTAATGGCTTAAACTTAAGCCATGTAGCTAACCGAAATGGAAACTAAGTCGCTCTTAAGTTTAGAGTTTCCTTTTTAAGATGTGTATAGTCTGGTTGTTACATATTTGGTATCTCAATGGCGTGTTGTATTGGTAGAGGAAATGAACCACTTTATAGTTTCATACCTGAATTACTAAGGATCCAACTCCACCAGCACCATTCAAAACAAGGATTGATTTACCAGCTGAAAATCCGGCCTTTTCGAGACCTTCATAGGCAGTCTCAATGGCAAGAGGAAGACCAGCAGCCTGAACAAAGTCTATATTTTTGGGTTTTAGAGCCAACAATTTCTCTTCAACGGCAGTGTACTCCGCGATAGAGCCAAACTGCTTAGGTCCTTCCAATGCTTTCTCATTGATGTCCCCGTATACTTCATCCCCTTCCTTTAGGCCCTTTACTTGGCGTCCAACCTTTACCACCACACCAGCAACATCATAGCCCGGAACAGTCTACACAAAGACACACCCAGTCAGAGGTAAAAAGATGGTTACAAAATGGCTGAAAGTTTAGCAATTCCACTAGGCCTAGAATATTCCATGCTCTAAACAAATCGCAATAACATATGAACAGAATATAAGGCAAATTGCAGAAATATATATAATTGAGGCAGTTCTTTAAATTGTATACCCCTTCCATCTGAATTTCTATGGGTCAACAGGGTTTAATCAGCTTAAAATCACATGTAAAATTTGAACAAAATTGACAGTTTTTAATTTTTATTTATTTTGACTTTCCAAAATCATTTGGATGCAAATTAACTATACACTGCAAAAGAAAAAAGAAATGTCTTCAATCTATCAATACAACAACAAATGCCATCTGACTCCTATTTTTCCATGTTGCCCTATCAAGGTCAAAGCCTCAGTCAAACCAAAACGCCTTCAGTCTATCAGTAAAGTTTAAAATGTACAATATATATATATATATATATATATATTTCTTGAGCCTCAATTTTCACATTACTCACTAATTTGTAGGTAAATTCCATCAATACCATACTAAAATTTAGCAAATACAACAAGAATCCATAAAATTTGGTCTTTCACTACGGCATTTCTGTTAAAATCAACATTATTGCAAGTTATCAAAATATGTGTATATATTATATTTATACATAGAAAATTGACAATGTATATAAACAACATCAAGAATTACACAACATATAGGATAAGATAAAAAATAAAAATAATAATAATAATAATAAAATAAAAATAAAAATAAAAACATAAATAAATAAAAACACACAACACACGGTGAATAGCTATTGCACATAAAATTCAGGAACTGAAAACACAACACACATTCATATGAATCATATTCCCAGCAAGAAAATCTTCCCACAATTTCCGAACACCAACAAACAGACCAATAAATGCATCCCAAAATTTCCAGCTAACCAAACAGAAAAAACCCACTGGGAAACAAAGAAATTTACTGGGAGAGGAGAATCGGTGGCCTTGAATTTTCCCAGTCTCCTCTTGAAATCAACAGGGTTAATACCAGCTGCAGCAACCTTGATGAGGACCTGATCATCCATCACCTGAGGCACCGAAACACTCGAATCGAACTTCAAGACATCAACGCCGCCGTATTCGCCGTAGACCCAAGCCTTCATGGTAGAGGGTATGGAGGAGGCCACGGAGGTTTCAGTGGAGGCAGGGGCAGCTTGGGAATTTGCAGAGACTCTGAGAGGAAAAACCGGGGATGGTGACCGACCCTTCTGAATTGAAGTGCTTCTCCTTCTGGTTCTGCTTGTTCTGAGTGTAGAGAGAGAAAATGGGGGTTGGGTGGAGGAGGGGAGAGAGTGGGGGTAGAGGAGGAGTCTGGATTGGAGAGTGGTGGAGGTGAAGAGGGCTTCCATTGTGTTCCAACAGTTTTTACGTGCTTATCTCTTTTGTCACACACACTAGTTTTTATATGGACATTGTGTGATTGGTGGAAAAATTATAAATTAATGTAGCATTTTATATTATTTTAATAAGATTTAAATTCTTCTTTTTAACATGTGACATGGTAAAGTTTTTATGTTTATGTTTTAAAGAATAGAAAATTGTTTTAATTAATAAGAGGGAAAAAAAAGAAAGAAAATAAAAATAAAAAACAAAAACAAAAACAAAGAAAGAAAAAGAAAAAAACAGAAGAACAAAAACAAAAGAAGAGAAAGAAAAAAGAGTACTTTCTTTAATATATATATATATATATATATATATATATATATATAATTCAATAAAAATAATATCCTTATTTCTTTCCATTTGTTTTCTAAACCGAAAAAAAATATATTGTAGAATATGTGAAGGTAGAATGATTTTAGTTATTCTTTATTTTATTTCAATTCCTTTAATCTAAATAAAATATTACATTTTTAACTTGTCAAGGCTAGGTTGGGCTGACACATCGGGTGAGTAGCCCAACCCATTTGGAAAGGGCAAGATGTACCCAAAAGCCCATGCAACTAAATCCAAGTGCGATATTTATTTTCATGGGCCTGTATCAGGCTCGATAAGCCCACTAAACCAGAAAAGTGGCCCAACCTTCAATTTCCATGATGAAGAACATAAATTTTTCAATAGCAAGAGAGTATAGTATCCGGGGCCTCTTTAGCTGTTGTTGGGAAGTTTGGGGTACGGTATCCCAGAGACTTTCACTAAATATATGAGCAAGTCTACAATACTCCGGAGTACTGCATTTTCAAGGCCTTTTTGTTGTTGAATCATCTATTAAGGGGGTCCTACCATCAAATCCAATTGTTGGGAAGCTCGGGGGGTATGATACCTCGGGTATTGTAAACCTTCACCAAATTTACGAGAAAGTCTACAATATCCCGATAATACTATATCCCTGTCCCTCTTAGTTGTTGGATCATCTATTAAGTAAATCCTATCATCATATTCAATTGCTGAAAAACTTGGGAGTACAGTACACTTGAGCATTGTAAATTTACAATGATAATGAAAGTCCACAATGGTTATAACTTTTACATTATGTGGCCTACTCCGTGGAATCCCCAACCCCTCGAGAACGTTTTTGTTTTTTATTTTTTTATATTCGTTGTAGAAATTCATTATGAAGAGTAGTATTGTTCTGTTGGCAATCAAGCAAACTTTTCTTTTGATTTTTATCGTAATAAATTCATTATGACAATTCTTACCTATCACATACAATATATAAACGTAGATTAGGGTTTCTTTCAAATTTCATCCAACTTTCATAAATCGGAGTAACCATTCAATGTTATTATTAGAAGTGAATGAATAAATTTAGTGGTCAGATACTTTAAAATCGTATAAAATTGGTAGGATTTTACTGGGATGATGAGACTAATTGGGATTGTTAAATTTTTTTAGTAAAGTTTATCATGAGTTATTTTATTATAATTTTCCAAACAAGTTTGTAAAATAAATAAACAAAAAATGAATAGTGACCGTGTAAATCTATTTGAATTACATTCCAATTTTTTTAAAAAATGAAGCCACTAAAGAATGGGCCTAACCATATTTAGTTAGAGAAGCAGGTCAAATAAAAACCTGAAAATTGGTAAAGAAATACACGTATCGCCATTTGGATGCATAGGATTGAAAAAAAATATAAAAAATACATCGAGAAAAGAAAAATAAAATTAAAATACAAATGTGAATATTTGAACTCAAAGCTTTTCAGAATCAAGACTCTAATACCATATAGTTTATCAACTACATTTTAAATAACTCTCACCAAGGATGGAGCTTTCATCAAATGGGCACAACGTACTTAATTTTTTTTTTTTTAAGAAAGAAAAAAAGGTGATAAATATAGATGGTTGCAAATCAAAAGGTAAATAAAAAAAAGGTCTTTACAAAATAATATCCTAATCAAAAAGTAATATAAGAAAGATAAATTCGTGACAAATATAAGAACCAAATATTGATTGATAATATTTTCACTTAAAACAATTACATATATTCTAAAATTACAGTTCATAAAACTACAACAATAAATTTAAATAAGAAGAGGGGGGAAAAAGTTACATACATTATATATAAGTGCAAAAGGAAGAATTTTAAGAAGTGAAAAAATAAAAAGAACAAGAAAGGAAAAAAGAAAAAAAAAAATGAGAGAATTCAGATTTTGATTGAAGAAATGGAATGCAACTGTTTTTTTTTTTTTTAAAAAAAAAAAAAAGAAATTAAAGAATTTGACGAGTAAAAGAAAGGAAAAAAAAGAAAAAGAAAGAGATAATTTTAATAAATAATGGAGAATTTTAAGAGGGGCACTGTAAAATTTCTTTTATATATGGGAGAGTAAAAAGAGAGATTTATATGTGATCACAATTCCCATTCAAACTTCACACAGACCATAGAAGAAGAAAGACTTTAGAGTCAACAATGACTTTGAAGATTCAACATAACTCACCGTACAAGGTAATCCCAAGTCATATATGTATGTGTGTGTATATATGTATACATGTATAGTTTCAGTACCTTCTCTCCCTAGTCTCTACACTAGTAACGACCAACACCACCAGAAGCATAAACAAGCAAGTTCCACAGCAGAGGTAAAATCCTTACTCCAAATTCTTGGTGAATTTTGCATACTATCTACCAATCTGATTCTATTCTAGGGTTTGTTTCTAACTTTTACTTTGATTGCTATGTAGAGCTTCTTGTTTTTCACTTGCTTAATGTTTTGTAACTTTTGTTTATAATTAAGAAAAATGAAATAGGAAGTGGTTTAGTTTAACTTAAGAATGTTATTACATTTCAGTCCACATGAAGGAAGTCTACTCAGGATCTGAAAGCTCTCATCTTACAACAGCTGAACTTGATCATGGCACAGATCAATCAAATAGTTCCTCTCTGCAATTGGCAAAAGGGGTTACAGATTTTGTAGGTAACAAAGCTATATATGTGTATGTGTGCGTAATTTTATATACATATTGCTAAAAATCAATAAATGACAGAAATTTTTTTCGAAAAAAATAAAATAAATGACAGAAAAACGTAAACCATGCACCACACGACACACAAACATTTATGTGGTTCAACATATAGTGGGCGAAGATTGACGAAGTGATTTCACTATGCCAAAAAAACAAAGATTCTAGTCCACAACCCACAACACAAAACGGGTCAAAACCGGGCCACAACTTCACAAAACAAACACACATATATATTGGATGTTTTGCTTTGGAGCTCTTACTAGTCATTAAACTAGAAATGCATGCTTATTCGATACATTGAACTGGATTAAATTGGATTTATCTTTCTATTATTCTTATTTTTAATTGCAGAAGATGAGCCTTTACCGGCTGTATAAGGCTTCCAAATCATGGGTGAAGCTATTCCGGGAAAAGAAATCATGGCATGTGGATACACTATTAACGGAATAACCACTTGCAAAATTGCGGTAATCTTAGTTTTTGGGAATCTCAAAAATACCAAATTATGTAATGTCGTGTCTTCAAATTGTTAATTATACTGATCATCTATCTCATTGAATTTGATTAGAAATTATATTATCTATTTATGTTGACAGTGGCTACGCGGTTCAGAAGATGGTTCCATGAACTATATAGAAGGTAATATAAACAGTTCCTGTCCAATGTCCAAATTTTTATCATTCCTATGAACTTATGTACTGAAAGCGAAGAGAGTCTAATTCTTACTTTTGGCTGCAGGAGCATCAGAACCAACTTATTGGGTGACCGAGAATGATGTTAACTCTTACCTAGCTGTGGAAGTGCTACCTATTGATAGCAAGGGGAGAAAGGTACTTGATAGATCGTGTTGAACAACTGAAAACGTAGAGCATTTAGAGAATTTTATACTTCTCTTTATATAAGTCTTGAAAAAGCAAAAACCTCCACTCAGTTGAGCCTAATATGACCATTGACTGAGCTAAGTTTCTCACTTTTCAGGAACTGAAACAACATGAAACCGTATAAATGAGAAGTTCATTTTATTGCTCATTTCTTCTAATTTTGCATCAGTCAAACAAATTTTTATGTATGTGTGCACAATTTATGTTTCAATGAAAAGTACTAATATAAAATTTTTGTTATTGGTGCAGGGTGAAGTTCTTAAAGTCTATGCCAATGAGAAAACAAAGATTACTCATGGTTAGCCAACTAATTGAATTATGATTTACATGTCTTAGTGGCGATTACCTTTTATATATATATTGTGTGTTAGTAGTACTTTCTTTCATCTTTGAGGCTATAAATCTGCTAAAATAATTGCAATACTTGATTCATTAAGCTGATGTACATTTTTATGACAATCTTAATTTTTCGTCTCTGCCATTGACAAAAGGGATTATAGAATTTATAGGCAATAGCGTTATTGTTTATCATGAATGAGGACAAAATGAGTATAATTTAGGCTGTGTAGAAAACAGATAGTAGTTAGTTTTTTTAACTTCTTTTGGGTTTACAAATCTAGGTGTTTAAACAAGTTTTATAAGAATTAAGTTATGGAACAAATTTGATATCTACTTATGTGCAATCCAAAAATCAAGAAAAAGAACGTTAAAAAGATGTGGAATTTTCCAATGGGTTTAAGAACTAACATATTTTGTGCTCACTTTCTGTTTGAGTCATGGCAAATGCATTGCACAAAGTGTGCCTTTGTGTGTGAGTCTATTAGTTATTGCTCCACCTTGCAGTCGAGCTTGAAAATTCGGTCCTTGAACTCAATGTTCTTACTATTATAAAGGCTTAGAGAGTTAAATTATAAATTCTTAGATGGTTTATGTGGAAACATTAGTCCTTGCATTTCTATCCTTCTGTTTGAGTCTTATAAATCCTTTTTCATCATTTGGTGTAAATAGTTTTTGAGGAAATTTAGTTTTACAAGGATATATTTACTGGACTTGAAAAGCAAAATCATCCACTCAACTAAGCCTAGTATGACCATTTAGATATCACTTTTCAGAAACCAAGACAACATAGAACATCAAGTTGAAATGTTTATTTTATTTTCTTCATTTCTGTATATTTATTGTTACGACAAGCACCTCAAAACCAAGAAAAAATCAAGAAATGACTGAAAAATGTAAACTACCTGGCGAAGAAATTTTACTGTGCAAAGAAAACAGAGATTCCAAATTCTGAAGGCCCCAACCCCTGTCTTTATCTCACTCTCTGTTCCGCTTCCAGTGTTCTCTCATACCCAAACCACAAATCCTAGCAACCTTATATGTTGAATTCCAAGTTCATGAAGACAAAACGGGTTGCAACAAGATTCGGTCCCCAACTTCAACACACACACACATATTTTGGGTGCTCCGCTTTGAAGCTCTTACTAGCTCATTAAATTAGCAATCCATTCTTATTCAATACATTGGATTGGATTTTTTTTTTTTTTTTTTGTTGTAATTGCAGAAGATGGTCCTTTACCGGCTGTACAAGGCCTCCAAATCATAGGTGAAGCTATTCCGGGAAAAGAAGTCATGGCTGGTGGATACACTATTAATGGAACAACCACTTGCAAATTTGCGGTAATCTTTTTATTTTTATTTTTCTTTCCTGAATGGGATGATTTTATAAAAACAAAAATTAAAATACAGCAAGGCATACCCCTAAATTACAAAACCAGAATGGAAAAAGCCCATTTCCAATAAAAACCGAAAACTAAAACTAAGACCACCAGCAACCAACATCAAGAATGAAAAATAGCAAGCGTAGAGAATAAGGAACATAAAACATTGGCTCTAGTAGACTTAACATTAGTCTGCTGAAGGAACCAAACCACAAGGTGATTCATAGACAAAATTCTGAACCGAAATCTTCAAGCTCTCAAATAACCACTTCCAAACAGCATTAGCAAACACAAATGCAAAATAGGTGATCATTATTGTCTTCATCAGCAAAACAATTATGACACACTGCAGGAACACACATGCCTCTCCTTCTTACATTAAAAACGGACATGTTTTTGTTATGCAGAATTATGACTACCAAAACAGCTACTCTAGGCCTGCAGTATTTCCAACATAAAACAGCCCAGTTAATATGCTGACCTTTAAACCTGCAAATCCTCCAAACAGACTTCAGAGAAAAAGCACCATGCTGCCAAATTATCTCATCACCAGATTCAGTTAGATACAGCTTCTCTATAACATCTTTAGCAGCGTCAGGGAAATTAGCAGGTAAAGCCCATCTGTCATCCACTGTGACAGAAGAAACTTTAGAACATTTATCAAATTCTCTGAAGGCAGTAGCACTAATAAGCTTGGGTGATTGGGCTACAAAACCATTTAAAAAATTATAAAAATAAATAAATAAATCATACAAAACATATCAACCGGAAAATATAATCACAAAATTTGCCCTGCATAAAACTTTCCAAAACCCATCCTAATATAGGTATGTATACCGAAGAATGTGGTTGCTTTTCCATCCCTAAGCACCAAACCTCTGAACTAAATATCTCCCCTCACATAATGGATCATATAACAAGCTGAAACTAGAACCATATCCAAGCTTGTAACATATGTTGTAGTCTATTAGCAAAAATCCTTGCAATAATCTTATAAGTAAAACTGCAAAGAGAAATAGGTCTATAGTTACCAATCTTGTCACCATGATTAGGCTTAGGAATAAGAGTTAAGAATGTTGAATTACCCCCATGGGAAGAGAGATAGAATTGAAGAAATGAAGAACAACATCATTTTCAACTAAATCCCAATTTTTTAAAAGAATCTAGCTGGAAAACCATCTGGATAAGGTGCTTTCTCAGGATTAAAAGCCATGAATACACTCTTCACTTCCTCTAAACTAATCCCATTCTCCAAGCTTAAGGCTTCTTCCATAGACAACTGTCTTCTAGGCTGTACATTGAAAGAATCAACCTCACCACTAGTATACAGGTCTTTGTAGAAATTGACCAGCCAGTTTTCAATTACCTTGGGATCCTCAGTTGTATCCCCATTAGTATTCTGCAGTCTAGTAATAGCATTGTAACAGCTTCTTTGTTTGACCATATGATGAAAAAAGGGGGAACATCTATCTCCATCTTGCAGCCATTTGACTCTAGACTTTTCAGCGCAAGGCACGTCTTCTAAATTCAAGAGACCTTGAAGCTTCAAAGATGCGTCTCTTTCTCTGTCAATCAAATTCTACTTTGAAGAATCCCTTATCAAATCCATTTGAGTATGCTGCAGAACCAATCTAACCTCCTTTACCTAATCTGTTATATGACCTTTTTCTTATTCCAAGCTTTCACGGCAGATTTCACTTCTCAAAGTGTCATCAGCAACTGATGGATAGGAGTCCCTGACACTGGATTATTCCATGCTTTAGCAACTCTCTCTTCTACCACCTGTTGAAAACACCAGATCTTAGGAACTTAAATGGCTTTGTACCAGTAGAACAACCAGAATGCCACTTCACTGCCATCCCAAAGTGGTCAGACAAAGATGCAGCTGTTAATTGTAGCCTAGAATCAGTGAATTTGTTCATCAAAGCATAGGAAGATTTCTTCAGCAGCACCCTACCCAATTTAGAAATGATTCTCTTGCTGATGCCTTGTTTGTTACACTAAGACCAATCACTATTGTGCGTAGGAAGATCATCCATGCTTAACTCCTCGATCACTTGATTAAATTTATCCAGAAGGGACTGAGGGACCTTTAAACCACCCACTTTCTTGCAATTAAATCTAATCAGATTCTAATCTCCAGCACCTAACCAAGGACCATGTATTAGAGCAGCATAATGCTTCCAATTTATCCATATATCTCTCCTTTCCTGAGAAGAATTGGCAGCATAAACTGGAGAGACAAAAACTGTAATACCAACATCTATAATATTCACATTCAACAACATGGACTGACCATTCTCCATAACTAATTGGACATCAAACCTAAAAGAGTTCCAACCATCCCCAATCTTTCCCAAAGTGTTAAAAGAATAGTTTGAAAGCCAAGTCCATCTAGGATTAATTTTCTTCTGAATTTTATTGGCTTTAAACTCTCTAACTCTGGTCTCAACCAAAACAACAAAAGAAACTTATAATAAAAAATCCAATTTTTTACCTCCCTTCAAGTAAGGTCAATTGAGACCTCTAACATTCCAGGCCCTAGTATTAAGAATAAGCAATTGATGGAATAACTCCACCTGCCCTGGTTATAGTAACCCTATCTGAAGAAGGAATTTGTTGTTTCTTCTTCTGTTTGCCTTTCTTACCATCGAACTTTAGAGAAATTAGACCTCCATCTTGATCTGAGGGAGTAGAAGGGCCCACATTTGTTAACTTTGAAGGACTATTTATCTCCTTATCTTCATCTTCCAATTTGTCATACTGGATAATAGACAATGGACTTACGCACTGCCCGCTACTATCACTTAATTGTCAACCCACGAGAAAAACCAACTCACAAGCTTTATCTTTCATAGCACCATCATAACATTGTGATCAGTACTTACAGATTCTCTAACTTGAGATGGAGAAGGATTGATGACTCTCTTAGAAGTAGACTTATCTCTCACATCCTTAGATAACACATCTGATTGACTAGTGACTTCATTCAGGTAAAAAAAAATAATAATAAAGATTGACTAGTGACTTCACCCACTGAAATAGAAGTGTTCTTTTGCTTAGAATCTCCATTGACTCCAACCTCGATATCATGCTGCACTTCAATTGCAAGTTCCTCCAGGACCATATCAACAGCATTATCCATTAACTCCTTAACCAAAGTGGACTCTCATTCAATTGATGTAAAAGCATAAACTTGTTATCAGTTGAAATAGGCTCTGAACGAGGAGCCTCGGGATTTTGAATCAACATATTTTGTGAATCTGAGGCAGGAAGTGGTTGAGAAATCAACTTGCCATTTGTTTTTACGACCCACTGCTCATTAGTTTTCTTCTTATTATCTGCCAACACTCGCTTAGTACATTTGTCAACTAGATGGTCTATGCAACAACAAAATGAACAAACCTGAGGCCTCCATTCATATTCAAACTTGATAGTGCAATCAGTACCATGAATATCTGTCACCATTGATTCTAGAAGTTCCTCATAGACTTCAATATCAACCATCGCTCTCACAAATGATCCACGTTCACGATTCAAAGAGAGATCATCAAGATACAAAGGTTTGGAAAAACCTTGAGCACACCTTCAACACTGCGGCCTTGCTTCTACAATGCAAAGGAAGATCAAATATCTTCAACCAAATCGGAATGGATCCCATCATAACTTTCTCAAGATTAACGTTTTTGTTCAATCGCTTAAGGATGATTGGTCGTCCCTCAAAAGTATGGACTCTTTGCTGAACCCTCTCCATATCTTCTCTTTTTTGGAACTTGACAGTGGCTACGTGGTTCAGAAGATGGTTCCATGAAATATATAGAAGGTAATATAAACAGTCCAAGTTCTCTATGATCCTATGAAATTATATACTGTTGGTGAAAATAGTCTAATTCTTACTTCTGGCTGCAGGAGCATCAGAACCAAATTATTGGGTGACTGAGGATGATGTTAACTCTTGTCTAGCTGTGGAAGTGCTACCTATTGATAGCAAGGGGAGAAAGGTACTTGATAGATGGTGTTGAACACTGAAAACCGAGAGGATTTAGAGAATTTTATAGTTCTCTTTTATTTGAGTCTTGAAAAATTAAAAACCTCCTCTCAATTAAGCCTAGTATGATCATTGACTGAGCTAAGTTTCTCACTTTTCAGGAACCAAAACAACGTATGCATGAAACATATAATTGAGTTGTTCATTTTATTTTCTTCATCTCTTCAAGTTTTGCATCAGTCAAACAATTTTTTATGTATGTGAGCACTATTTATTTTCTAATGGTAAAAATAGTTGTATAAAATTTTTGTTATTGGTGCAGGGTGAAGTTGTTAAAGTCTATGCCAATGAGAAAACAAAGATTACTCACGGTTAGCCAACTAATTGAATTATGAATTTACATGTCATAGTAGAGATTACCTTTTTTATATATTACAAGTTAGTAAGTACTACTTTCATCTTTGAAGTATAAATCTATTACAGTAATAGGAAGGTTTGATTCATTGATTTTATGTAATTTTTCATGATAACCTTCTACTCAGGATATGGAAGCTTCCATTATACAACAGGCGTACCTAATCATGCTATAAACCGACCAATTAGGTCCCTCTCTGTCATTGACAAAAGGGATTATAGAATTTATATGCAATAATGTTACTGTATATCTGGAATGAGGACAATGTTAGTATAAAGTTGTCTGGAAAACTACTGAGAAACTTTACAAGTTCATACTTCATAATATCCCAAAACTTCTGAAAAAAAAAAAAAAAAAAAAAAAAAAATTTGGAGGTTGGACCATAAAAACCTGGTGCCTTAAAACGCTCGATCATCTAATATCTACTAGTGTGCAATCCACAAATCAAGAACAATAACATTAAAAAGGATTTGGAATCTTCGAACAAGTTTAAAGACTAGCATATTTTGAGCTCACTTTCTTTTTGAGTCTTAGCAAATGCTTGGGACAACAAACTATATAGGCAGCTTAATTAAAATGTGAACTTCTTGCAAAACTTGTAAATAGTTTGCTGTTTTGCCACGGCAATGTTATCCTTCTGAATCAGAGTATGCCTCCGTGTGTGTATGTGGAAATTTTAGTTATTGCTTCACCTTGTTGTCGAGCTTGAAGAACTAGTCCTTGACCTCAATGTTCTTACCATTATAAATGCTTAGATAGTTAAATTATAAATTCTTAGATAGTTTATGTGGAAACATTAGTTCTTGCATTTCTATCACTCTATTTGAGTCTTATAAATCCTTTTTCAGCATTTGGTGCAAATGGTTGCTGAGGGAATGTAGATTTACAAATATAATATTTACAGGACTTGAATATCTGAATAATCCACTCAATTGAGCCTAGTATAGCCACATAGTTCTCTCTTTTCAGTAACCAAAACAACATAAAACATCGAATTGAAATGTTTATTTTATTTTCTTCATTTTCTAAAATTTGTCACTGATCAAACAAATAATTGATGTATGTCTACCATATGTAATTTATTGGTAATTTTTTTGTAAAAACGTCTATTATTTGTGCAGGGTCAAGTTCTGAAAGTCTATGCCAATGACAGAAAGAAGATTACTCTTGTGACGCTAGTGTGAAAGATGAGATATGTTATCATGTTTAAGATTACCTTGCTGTGTATGTCATAGTATAGATTATCTAGTTTCTCTGCCTTTGAGGCTATAAAGCTGAAGATTCGATCTACCTTCACAACTCTTAGGTGTCTCGAGGTCATATAAGAGTGCTATGTCAAGCTTATGTAATACCTCAGGCCATTACATGAAGCCATGGTGTTATGTGTGCAATACAGCGAAGTCATTATCCTAGAGTTGTCTGTATCCGAACTATCACCCTATGCTTCAACTGCTACGGCCCTTCCAAGGGAGTGTTACAAGAAGTACCGGACATTCTAAAAATTAGACCATTTGAAGAAATTCTACTGATGGTCACAAGATGTTAACCAAGTGTCACAAATTTAACTGTTATCTAATGGTTTTGTACCTGAGGTTAATGTGTGTTCCATAGGTACTCGTCCGATACTAGCCCCAATGCAATTGATGGTGCAAAAATGGGATGTGTGTGTGCGTATGTTTTATTTTCCTGCTGGAAGTAGAGATGACACTACCTCACCCTAGAGATCTGAATGTGTCTCAGTGAAGCGCGATGCTTATTGGTGTGATTCTTTGATTGCTGTGGTCGCATTGAGTGGCGTCTTTAGCTTATATGGTGCAATTGAGACAAATTCATGTGAAGCTCACTGGTTTGTCTGCACTATAGTAGTCTTTGCTTGAAAACTTGCGCATCAGAGTTTTGCTCCTTAACAGGAACCTTGTTCTCATTATTTTATTTGATTACTTAGAGGCATATACAAGAGCAAGGCCTTTGGCAATTGTTATGTGGAAGAAATAATACATATTAATCCTCTTGATGTTTGTCATGCATTGATATTCATAACTACTTTAACCACTCTTTTGTTTGACACACTATTGAATTCTATAGGCACTTTTGGCAACTCTTAGAGCATCCCGATGGCAACCACTCCATTCTCATTCTACACTTTCACAAAGTATAGTGTCATATTAGCAATTGTGGTGACATGGCTCTACACATTTTTTTCTCTTCTTGTGCACAAAGTGTAATGCCATGTTAGCAATTGTGGTGACATGTCTCTACACATTTTTTTAAGGTTTATTTCTCTTGTTGTGCACACATCTTTTATACTCTACACTTTTTAATTTTATTATTTTATAATTTGTCCGCATACTACTCATACATAATCAATTTATTTTATAATGTTAAAAGTACACACAAGGCCCATCATTTCAAGTGTATGATTGTAACGACCCGAATCCGTGAATCCGGACCGTTACCGGGTCATTGCCCGAACCCAAGGTTAACTAGGTCGTACACTCCATTTCCTATGTTCAAACCTTTCATAAGTCTCACTCCGGAGCTCAAAATACTCAATGGTGCAAGCTTACAAATGCTGGTCAACATTATAGGTTAAAAGGGGCAGTCAGCCAGCTGATAGGTCTCCATTGGTTGGCTGCCAAGGCATGATCGGCCGGCTGACCTGCATGGTTGGTTGGCCGAAACGAGGGTGAAGTTTACAAGCTATCGGGACTTTCACTGTGCAGGCATATCGGTCAACCGATGATGGGGTTCGGTTGGCCGAACCTGGGGTTTCGGTAGGCTGATGAGGAGGATCAGCCGGCCGAAACATGTATACCTGGGATTAACCTCTCTGGAATCAACATTCTGGCTATACACCATGCACACAACACCCACATTGAATCTGTTATGGACTCAAACTCCGAATTCACGGCAATTGCTCATCATTATACAAGAATTAGATACCATAAAATGTTCCTACAAGACATCACCAACCTACCATTCGTTATAAGCAATTACATAGTTTCCATTTACATCAAAGTATAGTCAAGTGTTCCAATTATACTACATGGCCATGATTTGCTAAATAGATATTCTTTTCTAGTACATGGGACTTTACAAAAGTACAGGAAAATGCAAAAGGTATAAGGTGAACTTCTAGTCATCCTCATGTTTGTAGAAGGTTCGTTTCTACTGTGTCTTTTCCGGTTCCTGAAAAAAAATATTAAATAATGGGGTGAGCATAAAGCTCAGTAGGTAGCGCCTAAGGCACACCCTTTGTAGCCCCGTGAATCCAAACAAAGAATAGAGCAATGGGAGATGGGGATCATACAATGTCGGGATAATATCACATAACAAACAGTCTCAAGTATATACAACCTGATGCAATGAAATGCAATGCGTGCCAATGTCACTCCCCGTTTTCATCATTCAAAACCATCACTTTCAAACAGTTAATATAACCCGCCCTTTGGTGACCCCGCAACAACACGAGAAAAGGATTGGCTAGTGTCCCTGACCCTTGGTACCCCCGCGGCGTTATTTTGGGCCCAGCTAGCTCAACCACGCTAGGTCAATCTCCCTAATTCCCTCTAGGCTATATTAACCCTCCGGCCCTTTGGTACCCCCGCGGCGACCGGGTTTTTCTAAAACACTTTAATCAAACTTCTTTCCCCAAAATCCCCATTTTTCATATCAAAACCGTATTTCCCTTTTTCATGCCCAATGCTTTGAAATGCATATACATGCTTTGACAATACTATAAAATGGGGAATTTAACATTACAAAATTATCATGCTTGCTCACAACATCATTTAGCACTTTTAATAAACACAATAGGCACAATTAATCAACAATTAAGCATGATCACCATGTAAATCAACAAGTGCACATATATATTCTTCATATGCACAATTAAAGAATATAAACAAGCAATCAACTTAAATTGAGCATGCTTAGCCACAAATATAGGAGAATAACTCACTAAAGTACAAGAAATGTGGGAATTAGAGACCCCTACCTCAAGATTGTGCAAAACCCCCAATTGTGCCTTAGGATTTTGAAATTCCTATAGTGCACCAAACACCAAATTGCTATTAAATGAAAGATCTCGTCGTGGGCTTCGATTTGCCGCAAACGGTACCCAAAATGATCAAGTATTGAGAGAGGGATCTTGATTCAAAGATTTAAAGTAAAAAAAGAAAAAGAAAAAATGAAGTTTGAGAATGAGGGAGAGAGAGTAGCGGGGAGAGAGAAATGAAGAAGCAAGAAGTGGTCTCTAGACCACTAAATGGTTGGTGGTGGGGCCCTCCATTAACTTTTTATTTTCCTTTTTCTTTAATCCTCCATTATATACCATATAAACATTTAAATACACATAATCCAAATACTACATAATTCTCATAAATTAAAACGTATGAAATGCAATTGGACCCAACCACAATCCCCCGCACAAAACGTGAAAAGACAGAAATGCCCTTGCGGCAATAAAATTTTTAAAAAAATGAAAAATGCCGAAAATTGGAAACATCAAAATCTCTTCAACTTAAAAAGGATTTCGTCCCCAAAATCAAGCCATACCTGGGGAAGAAAACAACTCTGGGTACCTAGAGCGAACCTGTTGTTCAAGCTTCCAAGTAGCCTCCTCGACTCCGTGGTGTCTCCAAAGAACTTTCACTAACTGTACTGTTTTGCCCCTTAACACCTTCTGCCATGTGTCAAGGACCTGCATTGGTCCCTCTTTATAGGAGACATCCTCATCGATGTCCACGTCAACCCAATCCAATACATGAGATGGGTCCGGTTTGCACTTCCGTAGCATTGACACATAAAAAACATTGTGGACCTTGTCCATCTGTGGTGGCAAGGCTAGTCTGTAGGCAACTTCTCCAACATGGTCCAAAATCTCAAACGGGCCAATGAATCGTGGCGACAACTTGCCACTCTTCCCGAACCTCATCAAACCCTTTCGTGGAGAGATGTACAGAAAAACATGGTCTCCCACCTCAAAAGATAGCGGTCGTCTCCGCTTATCAGCATAGCTCTTTTGTCGGCTCTGAGCTGTGAGCAATCTTTGTCTGATCAATTTAATCTTCTCAGTAGTTTCGAGTACAATTTCGGGTCCTAAGGCGGCTATCTCGCCCACCTCAGTCCAACAAACTGGAGACCTCCAAGATCTGCCGTACAACGCCTCAAATGGAGCCATCTCGATACTCGCTTGATAACTGTTGTTGTAGGCAAACTCAATAAGCGGTAGATGATCTTCCCAACTACCTCCCAAGTCAAGCACACATGCCCGAAGCATATCCTCTAAGATCTGGATAGTACGCTCCGACTGGCCATCTGTCTGTGGATGAATGTCGTACTAAGATGCAACGCTGAACCGAATGCTGCTTGAAATCCTTCCCAGAACTTCGAAGTGAATTTGGCATCCCTATCTGAGACAATGGTTATTGGGACTCCATGTAACCTTATAATCTCCTTCACGTAAAGATTACCAAGTGCCTCCGCATCATCTGTCGCCTTAATAGGCAAAAAGTGAGCCGTCTTGGTCAGTCTATCAATGGTGACCCATACGGCCTCGTTACCTCTCCGTGACCTTAGAAGACTTGTCACAAAATCCATAGCGATATGTTCCCACTTTCATTCTGTTGACAGGTAAGGCATTCAGCCACAAACTGTGCAACATCTTTCTTCATCCTGTTCCACCAATACTAACGCCTCAAATTGTGATACATCTTAGTACCACCTGGATGAACTGTAAAGCGGGAAGTGTGAAACTCCCGCAAGACGTCCTCCCGACAAGCTATGGGGACCACCAACAATCCCCTGAACCGTAGACCCCCATCTGCATGCAAGGTCCAATCTTTCACTGTCTCACCACTGAAGATTAAAGCGTGAATGGCATCCAAATCCGAGTCCTGTCTCTATGACTCAATCACTCTTACAACAAGAGTAGGCTGAGCCACAAGACTAAACAAAAATGCCGACTCACCACAACCATCGTCATCAACACAATACAATCCCATCTCCGCCAGATCATTAAGCATCTTCCATTTCCGAATAGCCAATCCGGCCAAAGTTCCATGAGATTTCCGGCTCAAGGCATCTGTTACCACATTTGCCTTGCCCGAATGATACTGCAAATCAAAATTGTAATCTTCCAAAAATTCAACCCATCTTCTCTGTCTGTTATTCAAGTCCTTTTAGGAGAAGAGGTACTTAAGACTCTTGTAGTCTAAGAATACCTTGAATCTCTCACCATACAAATAGTGTCTCCAACACTTCAGTGCAAACACGACTGCCGCCAACTCTAGATAATGAGTAGGGTAGTTGCACTCATGAGTCTTTAACTGTCGAGACCCATAAGCCACTACTCTACCATCCTGCATTAAAACACATCCCAACCCATCACGTGAAGCGTCACAATAAATCACATAACCCAAGCCACGCTCAGGTATCACCAACACTGGAGCTGTAGTCAATCTTGTCTTCAGCTCTTGAAAAGATGACTCACAGGCTTCATTCCACACAAACGTAATTCCATTACAAATCCTTTACAAATCTCCAATAGTAACCCGCTAGACCAAGGAAACTCCGGATCTCGAAAACATTCTTGGGTTGCTCCCAATTCAAAACAGCTTCAATCTTTGATAGATCAACTGACACTCCACCTTCCGAAACAACATGTCCCCAAAACTTCACCTCCTGTAGCCAAAACTCACACTTCTCATATTTGGCATACAACCGGTGTTCTCATAATATCCGTAGAACGGTACTCAAATGGATCTCGTGCTCTTCCCGAGTCCGTGAATACACAAGAATGTCATCCACGAAAACCACCACGAACTGGTCCAAATAATCGTGAAAGACGCGGTTCATCAAGTCCATGAATGCCGCTGGCGCATTAGTCAAACCAAATGGCATAATAAGGAACTCGTAGTGTCCATACCGTGTACGGAACGCTGTCTTTGGGATATCCTTATCCTTAACCCGCAA